AAAGAGATTGGCAGCAGTATGTCATGGTCAGTTGTACCAACAGAGAATGACAAGAGCATATAACAAGAAAGTGCGTTCGCGGAAGTTTGAAGTAGGGCAATTGGTGTTGAGGCGTATCTTACCTCATTGGGCTGAGGCAAAAGGAAAGTTCGCCCAGAACTGGCAGGGGCCATTTGTTGTAACCAGAGTATTGTTCAATGGCGCATTATATTTGACAGATGTGGAAGGAAAATGTGTAGAAATGGCTATCAACTCTGATGCAGTCAAGCGATATTATGTATGATTTCTTGGTTTAATTATACTTTATTGTATTTGGCATATTTTTGAGATTGAAATGACGAAGGCATTTTGTTCTGCTATCCAAACACTTTATCCTTTGTTACCCCTTTGAGCCTCGGTTATTTTCTTGCATACCCCTCTTTCGGAATCAATAATAAAACTCGTAAGCCCGAGCGAGGAAAGTAAGTGGAGAAAAAAGAGAAAAACAGTAAAAAAAAGAAAAAAAAAGAAGAGAAAAGAAAAAGAAAAGAAAGGAAAAAAAGAAGAGAAAAGAAAAAGAAAAGAAAAGAAAAGAGAAGGAAAAGAAAAGAAATGAAAAGAAAGAAAAGAAAAAGTGGAAGAAAAGGAAAGATTGCAACAACAAGTAATTTCTATGACCTGAACTACGTTCGACTTGATCCCGAAAGGGTACGTAGGCAGCCTCTCCCTGAGGTTCAGTCACACCAAAACAAAATCCCAAAAGTTTCCACGAAGGAAACTGGGGCAGTAGTTGTGATTGTGCAAGAAATTTGATTCCGAAGGTTGTAACTGTGAACCCATATTAAATTGTTTTAGAGCCTTTGATACCCCTTCTTTCTAGCCCTGTCCAAAAGCCTGCATTACGGTCCAAAGGAAGACCTTCTGATCAAGCTTCAGGAAGTGCCAATACGAGCAAGTAAAAGTGATTCACGTCAGGGGCAACACTCCGGTGCAAGAAAAATAAAAAAATGAGAGAGTCTTATTGGTGAAACCTCACGGGCACCGTAAGGCGAAGTGAGTCGAGAGAAATCAAAAATGAGAGAGTCTTATTGGTGAAAACTCTCACGGGCACCGTAAGGCGAAGGTGAGTTTTTCAGACAGGCCAAGGAAACAAGTCTGTGGCCAAAAGCTGCTCAGGACATTGCAAGACGAGCAAGGTTTGGGTTTGGGTGAAAATCAGGTTGTGAAAGTCCGGAACGACAAATGTGACGATTGAAAGTTGATTGGTTAGACAGACTGGGCTGGTTAATCCAAAATGCATGGCATGCTCAATGGTACCAGCTGTTCCACTCAGATAAGTCTCGTTCTCTTCTTTCTTCATTACAAATCATCCGTTCTCGGATTCTTTTTATCCTTAACCCTCGAGGTCATTGCATTTCATTCTTTCGAGGTCTATCTTTAAGATGTTTCAGTGTCAGTTCTGTTCGAAACAAAAGGAAGGAATGTCAAGGCTAACTACCAGCTTCCTAGTGGTACAGACAGGGCCAGAATATATCAAAGATGTCAAAAAGCAAAGTAAGTCATAAAGGACCACTGGAAGTTTCATCGGTGGATTAGTCGGATAATTGTGGGGAAGAAGCGAAGTTTCAAAAAGAGGGGCACCCAGGGACAACTATGTGTCGATCAGAACCCTCCACTCCAACCTCTACGTAAGTGTGACGCTCCAAAAACTTACGAACATCCCTGGGGTCGACGTCCGAGCCTGAGCCGTCGTCCTCGACGCGTAGGCCCCCTCCGCATTAGACGACAAACGGCCAGATAGCGGCACAGAGGAAGACACTCACCAGACGGAACCTTCGGCCTGAAGCGTTTGACAAAAGCTGGCCAGTCTCGAGTCTCCACTGCATGAAACAACAAACGGGCTACCCAGTCCCTTATACTAGCAATGGGACGGGGTGGACGTCCCATATCTGCAAAAAGGAGCCGTAAGTAAATGCTAAGCTGGATAAAAAAAAAGAAGAGGAAAGAATAAATAAGTTGCAACACCTACGATTCTCATTCCACCGTTCCAGGAATCTGGAGGGATCAGATACAATGTGTTCACTTCTGATAAAGAAGTACTTGTGCCAGAATTTGCGACTAGCCCGGTCGTCAGTTCCGGCCACCAACCCTTTTGTCATACGATGCCTTAAGTGCACCATTGTGCCCTTGTGAGAGCTAGGAGAAAACAAGTAGGAGGTGGTGAACGGTAACTTCACACCCTGCCAACTCCGCATATTTTGTCAGCACCAGAAGTATCTTTACGTGTACGGGGAAAGATTTGCCGGGCAAATCTGATAGAATCGCCAGAATTCTTCTGCCAACGGAATTAAGGGGAAGGAATAACCATCACAAAGGGGTACTCATAAAAATTAAAGTACCCCGGTCTGTGGACCTCCACGAAATCTCCTCCCGCAGGAACCATTTCGATATGAGAGGCGATGTTGTAGTTAGCACGAAGGGCATTGATATGGACCTGCTCAGTTTCAGATATTACCGGAGCAGGAGTAGGAGGTGGTTCTTTAAGGAAGTCGCTTCGAGACATGGAGTGCCTCGGCAGTAACTCTTCCACGGTGGGAAAACTATCCCCCTCCTCTACCATCATGTCCTCACCGCCGGTGGGGGGTGCCACGGACAGCGTGGTAGCGTCAGAAACCCCCTCACGAGATCGATGTGATCTAGGCATATCTATGACGATGAATATGTTTACTGAACAGAAAGAGCTAAGAACGGCAAACGGAAAGAAAGCAAAGAGAACTGCTAGAGCAAAAGCGGGAGAGAAGATAAGGAATAACCAAAGAAGAAATGGCCAAGAGTTTTTGAAAAAACAAACCCTCCACCTATTTATAGGATTGGGTGGCGCCGAAATCGAAGCATAAGGCTGCAAAATGGCACCAAAATCGAAGCGACAAACCGTCAGCCTCTGTCTCGGAAATACGCATAATGATGACGCACGTGGACGTAACGTCATTTACCGACAAGACATACCACCTAGGATATCGTTGTGCATGCTAACCTTCCGTTGTTGGTCAAACCATTATGATTCATAAGGCAAATTTCTCCGCAGATGTGGGCATTGTCCGCCTATCGAGGTCGCGTTAAACTGCAACCTTAACAAGTGGAGGGACTAACTGTATGGGTCCAAATTTGGACGACCACGGCCACTGACGAGTACAGCAAGGGACGAGACCCTTACGATACAACATCCTTTGATCGTTGAGGAAGGCGGTGACTGGCATCGGCTAGAGAATGTACGACATATGCAATAACGTAGGTGCAACACGAGACCGTCAGAATATACTTTCGAATATTCTTTTTTGTTATATATTTTAGGGTTCAAGAGGGGATGATCCATTATAAATAGAAGGAGAAGGCTACGTAGGAGAGACATCTTTTTGCACTTGACTCCAAAATAAGAATATTCATTACAATATCTTCCTACATTCAAAGTTATCATATTGACGCTTAATTATTCGATTTCGCAAGATTAAGAAATGTTATTCATTGTGCTCATTCCTTGTATCTTTCGATCTAGAGTTTATTATACTTAGCTGAGATTTACCTCTTCATCTTCTCTAATTGATTTAATCAAAAAGGTTTCAATAACTTTTGGTCAAACAGTATTAAAATATAATAAGTTCAATATTAAAAACTTTAAAGTTTGATCTTATAGAGCTTAAATTTTGAATTTGTGTGTGAAAATGAGAAACTAGTAACCTCGACAACGAGCCATCATTTGGACTCCCTTAGTCCCTCGGGTACCAACTACCTTTTTACTGTTATATCCTCACGATTATTGAACTTTTTACTAAAATATGCTAGCAGAATTCGCGTGGTTTTCGTTTTCCAATTTATTCCCAAATAAGTTATTCATCCCCTTTCATTTTATATGGTGTTATTTGTTTAAGTATTAAATTTAAAGAAAAAAGACTGGCTCGTACTCGATCCGATCTAAATTATGTGAACTTAATCAAGTTATTTCTTTTTTAGTTTGTTTGGAAAAAAATTAACTTTCTTTGGGGTTGTAAAGAATCGAACTTAATCTTTCATTGCCACACAAAATGCTATGGCATATTTAACATTACTTTTTTTTCTTGTTTTTCACTCAGTATTCGATATTTGCTTTGAGATTCCGACTAATCTAGATTCGTGCTGCATAAGGCTCATTAATAAGGAAGTGCTCGTGCAGAAAATTTTCGTTCTCAGAGCTCGAAGCCGGGTCCTTTAGTCAAGGGTGGAAGAATTTTATCATCTTGCCACAATATTTGGTGGTTCCTTATAATCACATAAATGTCATAACATGTTTAATACCACTAGTATCAAAAGATCTTTATTTTTTCTTAAATTTTGTGATCATTCAAATTGTTTCACATAAATTAAAACAAATGGAGTACCACATATACCCTTAGAACTTGCATCTTATATATAGCATGACATTTTTGTGCTTATAAACACATGTGATCATTATGGATAAGAAGAAAATTTTAAAATTAAATAGTTTTCAAATATATACAGTCAGATCTCTATATAACAGTATCTCCATACAACCTTTCATTATAAAAGCCAAACTTTTTGCCGAATCAATTTTTATGTTATGCTATAATATATGTTCTCTATAACAGCCCTCCGCTATAATATTCAAAAATATTCGGAACGTACAAAAGATGTTGTATATAGTCAATACTCTCTATAACAGCCTCGTTTGTTCCGAATATTTTTGAATGTTATAGCAAAGTGATGTTATAAAGAAGTCTGACTATATATGAAAGAATTTAAATAGAGTAAAAAAACGAAGCACATAAAACGGATGAGAGAATACAACAAAGTGACGATCATACGCCGTAAATCTTTGCTTGACATTAATATCATGGCACTTTGAAACATTTCAGAGACACCTTATTTCGAAGTGGGTAATTTAGTTTCAACCCTTAAAAGTAGTACATTGGATTTGGCATTTTGAAAGTGCGCAACAAGAAATCTGTAATAATATCATCCCATCCTCCTTAGTTGCCAACAAGTCTGTATCCAGCTTTCACCAATTCAGCCCTTTTCTGAGTTTTCCAGTTACCTCTATGTTCTGTATATAATTCTGAATCATTTTTTCCCCTACATGCAGCCACAACATTAATTAATTAATTAACAGCATATGATAAATATACCATATCCATATATATGCCTAAAGTCAATATAAATTATTCTTACTTGCAAATGAACTTAAACCAAGAATGGTAGCCAGCTTTCTTTAGGTTTGCAATTCTCACTTGTCTGAATTCTTCCTTTGTGTCCGTAATAAAGATTGGTTTAATACCCAACTCCAACAATGTTTTATACAGTAACAGAGCACCTGGCACTGCTGGTGATTTTCCTTCTTTAATCCACGACTCAAACTTCTTCCCAACGTTGGATTTTGTTGCCCTGACCACAATTAATGTATATTATATACACACACTTTATTAGTCAAGCGCTAGAGTTTTATATGTATACATATTACATATGTGTACACTATCTTAGGGGACAATATAATTTTTCAGCTAAGGGATTCAATTGAACTGCTTACCCATAGCCGACTTCAGGACGAGAATAATAAGGAACATTAGAGAGGGTGGTTTCATCAATATTAAAGACCCAAAGGTCCTTTCCTTCTTTGGAAACGTTAAGGGACTTCGCGTAGTCGATAGCAACGATGACCACTAGGGGTATGCATTCGATTGATCGATTCGATTTTGACCCTTATCGATAATTAATTATCGATTATCGATTTGTACATATGATTATCGTTATCGTTTCAATAAGGTTTTGATTTTTTCGATTTCGATTTATCGATTTTTGGGGCTTATCGATTACACCAATAAGAAAATTTGCGGGATTCCACGGAAAGTATATCGCTATAAACACGCCTAACTAATATGGACCAAAAGAAGCTAAAATAAGACGAACACCGTTTATAACATAAAAATTGTGTCAACAAGCACATGCAACGAAACTAAAGTAAGGGATCAAATGTATGCCACCAATACTCCAACGGTATAAAAAAAAATACATCATCAGGGCTAATTCTATTTTCCATTAATTTGAACTTCATTCCCTTGAGCTTTAAGTATGATCATTCCTTAAATGTGGTAGATGAAATAATAGGGTTAGGGACTTAGGGTAAAGGAAAGGGTATTATAGAATAAGGGTAAAAAAAAAGTTAAAAAAAAAATCGAAAAAAAATTAAATTTTTTTTTAGTATTTCTTATCGGTTTATCGATAAACCGATAAACCGAAGAGGACAAAATCGAAATCGAAATCGATAACTCGATAAGGAAAATTTCGAAATCGAAATCGAAATCGATAAATCGATAAACCGATATCGATAAACCGATAACAAATAATCGATTCGATTTATCGATAAACCGATTCGAATGCACACCCCTACACCCCACACTTAGATTATTGCTAGTCCTCGAGAAATTCACCACACTCCATCAAAATTCCTTCCCTAAGCTTTTCCCTCAACGACTCACACAATGAACATTTTACAAAAGTTACACTTAGTAGTGAGCAAACTTTACCTCAAGAATCAAATCTTTCGTACCCTGTAACATTTGCACTTACTCAAACCACTCTACACAAGAGTCAAGACGTACCTTTCCTTTGTGAATCACATGCCCTCACATCACACAAGAGAGTAGTTCCATATATAATGATAGTGATAACAATTAGCAACTAAAATAGACAGAATTCGCTCACTCTCAAAAAGAACATTCACATGCCACAAAGATGCACCATAGGCTTGCCCCTAGTATAGTACTCGACTAATCGAGCCCCACCCAGTCTAAGATCAATAGGACTTTATTTGGTTGTAATGTAGGCTAAGGGACGGGTAGGATACATTTAGACATAAGAGTGACTACACCTCCCTAAGCACTTTAATACATACAATTTAACATTCAAACCCCATACTTATGTCAAACCAAAATTTCACCTTCACATCAATGTAAATTACCCCAATCTTCTTTAAGCACTCTTACGTTAAGAGTATATATATATATTTATTTATTTATTTATTTTTTCAAGTGGCTCTTCCTTTTTCAAAACAGTGCACCTTTCTCCTTATTCAATTAATTCCACTCAAAAGCCAAACCAACCATCCCACACTTAAACTTTTACAAAGTTCATACAATTCAAGTGCTCATGAGAGGTGAAAAGGTTCAAATAGATGGTTAATTCAAACAAATGGGTAAGGCTTGTAATGTGGTTGCCAAAGAAAAAGGCTTATAGGCTCAAAGGGGTTAACTACGATAAATAACAATTAGGTGGATAGAATATACATATCCGGCTCAACAAAGAAATGCCTACATCACTTCTAAAACTGAATGAAGCTACTATTTCGCTTTGTAAACACACAGGGCAAGTTCTAGGCATCAATTGTACAGCATGGAATACAGTAACACTCACACACACATGGCACGTGACTCACTTCGGATTAGTTTATCAAGACATTCTCTTTTGAGTGTTTAAGTTAGGTACAAACATACACTTTTTAAGACACTTAAATAAGATTCAACCCTTGAAGCTAAGCGCTACACTCTAGCGTCTATCGTGTTTAGGTGTAAAAACGCTAAGGGGTTTTTTTTTCGATTTTAAGCTCGTCGCCCATTAATCCTAACCTAAAAAAAAACAAAAAAATCTACCTATACCCGGTCAAGCTAAACCCTAGAAAAAGAACCGTGGCCCAAAGAAAAACCAAGGGGGAGTTACTACACTACCTAAAAAAAAAATCTTTTTGGTATTTTCTCTAGACTAACTTCCCTCAAGAAAATTTTCTAAAGGATCCGTCATCAGGAAGAGTCTCTATATTCCTTTTTTTTTCGACTTAGTCCCTCAAGAACCACGTCGAAAGAGATCCGTCGTCGGGACAAGTCACTTACCATTTCTACTTACCTAATGAACTACTATTCTACATTAAAACAATCAAAGCAAACAGTTAATTGTTACAATTACAACATACAATGAAGTATCCCCCACCCCACACTTAAAATAAAGACATGTCCCCATGACTTCAAAATGTAAAGAACAGTGAGGTAAAGGAACTTCCCTGAGGCTCACTCTTGGTCAGAAACTGTGTCTGGGTTCACGTTGCACGCACGACCCAGCGCTCACNTTTGATTTTTTCGATTTCGATTTATCGATTTTTGGGGCTTATCGATTACACCAATAAGAAAATTTGCGGGATTCCACGGAAAGTATATCGCTATAAACACGCCTAACTAATATGGACCAAAAGAAGCTAAAATAAGACGAACACCGTTTATAACATAAAAATTGTGTCAACAAGCACATGCAACGAAACTAAAGTAAGGGATCAAATGTATGCCACCAATACTCCAACGGTATAAAAAAAAAATACATCATCAGGGCTAATTCTATTTTCCATTAATTTGAACTTCATTCCCTTGAGCTTTAAGTATGATCATTCCTTAAATGTGGTAGATGAAATAATAGGGTTAGGGACTTAGGGTAAAGGAAAGGGTATTATAGAATAAGGGTAAAAAAAAAAAAAGTTAAAAAAAAATTGAAAAAAAATTAATTTTTTTTTAGTATTTCTTATCGGTTTATCGATAAACCGATAAACCGAAAGGACAAAATCGAAATCGAAATCGATAACTCGATAAGGAAAATTTCGAAATCGAAATCGAAATCGATAAATCGATAAACCGATATCGATAAACCGATAACAAATAATCGATTCGATTTATCGATAAACCGATTCGAATGCACACCCTAATGACCACAACGTTACAGTCGTCGCGGTATTGCTGGCTAGTCATGTACTCGCTCACGTAGCGTTTGCATTGAGCGGGCACTGTTTTCCAGTTACGGATGTTGTTGGTTTCAACTGCTATACGCCAGCTCAAACAATTGATTTGAGGAACGGGCGCTGGAGCAGCTGCAGCACCAGTTGCTGCTCCAGTATCTATAAAGAGGACGAAGAGAATGACCTTCATGTGGTTGATATGTTTATGTTACTCTTTTTTTTTTGGTACGTAACTTTGATGTGTTTTTTGGTCCTTTATATAGAGTTTGAAATGACACTTGTCATCTTATCATCTCATGATAAATCAGTGAATTACATGCAGTTTTTTTCTCGTGCCATCTCTCTGTATTTTTTGTTTTGTTTTAATATTCCTAGTAAGTAGTAAATTATTGAAGGTGTCTGACGTGCTTTCTTCCTTAAAATTATTTATATTTATCTTGGTCGTACGGAGAAATAAATTATTAGTGTTGGTCCTGAGTCCTGACATAAGATACCCAAAGGCAAAACATATCCTCATCTTACAATTTGTGTTTGGTATCACTCTAAAAATGCAGCAAGCGGGCGTGGGGAGTGTTTGACTAAAAGATATTGAAACCTTTTCGATTAAATCAATTAAAGAAGATGAAAAGGTAAATCTCAGCCAAGTATAGTAAATTCTAGATTGAAAGATGCAAGGGATGAGCAAGATGAATAACGTTTCTTAATATTACGAAATCGAATGATTAAGCGTAAATATGATAACTTTAAATGTAGAAAGATATTACAATGGATGCTCTTGGTCAGAAGTAAAAAATGGTCCCTCCCTCTTTACAAAGTCTTTTTTCTCTATTTATAGGGGACAATCCCCTCTTGAACTCTAAAAGATATAACATAAAGAATATTCGAAAGTATATTCCGATTGCCTCATGTTGCACCTACACTATTGCAAATGTTGTGCATTTTCTAACCGCTGTCAGTCGTCACCTTCTTCAACGACCAAAGGACGCTGTGTCGTAAGGGTCTCGTCCCTTGTCGTATTCGTCAGTGGCCGTGGTCATCCAAATTTGGACCTATACAGTTAGTCCCTCTGCTTGTTGAGGTTGCGTCTTGATGCGTCTTCGATAAGCGGACATCGCCCACATCTGCGGAGAAATTTGGCTAACGTATCGTAATGGTTTGACCAACAACGGAAGGTTAGCATGCTCAACGATATCCTGGGTGGTGTGTCTCGTCGGGAAATGACGTCACATCCATGTGCGTCATCATTATGCGTATTCTCGAGACAGAGGCTGATGGTTCGTCGCTTCGATTTTGGTGCCACTTTGCAGCCTTCCGCTTCGATTCTGGCGCCACCCAATCCTATAAATAGGTGGAGGGTTTATTTTTTCAAAAACTCTTGGCTATTTCTTCTTTGGTTATTCCTTCTCTTTCCTTCCACTTTTGCTCTAGCGATTCTTTCTGCTTCCTCTCCGTTCGCCGTTCTTACCTTTTTCTGTTCCGTCAACACATCTCCCGCCATAGATATGCCTAGAACACATCAGTCTCGTGAGGGGATTTCTGACGCCACTCCGCTGTCCGTGGCGCTCCCCTCCGGAGGTGAGGACATGACGGTGGAGGAAGGGGATAATTTTTCCACAGTGGTAGAAATGGTGGATGACTGCTGAGACACCCCATGTCTCGAAGTGACCTTCTTAAAGAACCTCCTCCTACTCCCACTTCAGTAATATCTGAAATTGAGCAGGTCCATATTAATGCCCTCAGCGCTAAATACAACATTCCCCCTCATATTGAGATGGTTCCAACGGGAAGGGACTTCGTGGAAGTCCATAGACCGAGGTACTGTGCTTTTTATGAAAACCCCTTTGTGATTGGTTATTCCTTCCCCCTTCCCCCGTTAGCAGAAGAATTATGTCGATCTATTAGGTTTGCCCGGCGCAGCTTTCCCCGTACACGTACAAGATACTTCTGGTGTTGACAAAATACGCGGAGTTGGCGGGGTGCGAAGTTACCGTTCACCACCTCCTACACTTGTTTTCTCCTAGTTTTCACAGGGGTACAATGGTGCATTTGAGGCACCGTGGGACAACAGGGCTGGTGGTCGGAACTGACGACTGGGCGACTCGCAAATTCTGGCATAAGTACTTCTTCGTCTGAATCGAACACATTGTGTCTGATCCCGCCAGATTCCTAGAACGGTGGAATGAGAATCGTAGGTATTGCAACTTATTTATTCTCTTTTTTTGTCCCACTTAGTGTTTACTTGCGGCTCCCTTTTGCAGCTATGGGGCGTCCACCCCATCCCATTGCCGGTATAAGGGATTGGGTATCCCGTTTGCTGCTTCATGCGGTGGAAACTCGAGACTGGCCCGCTTTTGTAAAATGCTTCCGGCCGAAGGTTCCCTCTGGTAAGTGTCTTCCTCTGTGCCACTCTTTGGATGTTTGCCATTATCTACTAATACGACGTGATGACAGGTCGTGGGGCTTCTAGACACAGGGCCCTAGTCCCTGCATTTCGCCAGGCCGTCGCCTCTGCAGGAATGCAATTCACTATGGATGAGTCCGCCCGAGAGGGTCGTGCTCAAGCGGTATAGGTGAGAGATTCCTTTCGGGATATGGTTGTGAGGGAAGAGATCCCTTCTTTACCGGTCCATCACCTTGTGGACGAGTCCTCTAATGGGGACGGATCTTTGTTGAGAAAAAAGAGGAGGGTGGAGCTCGGGAAGGGCGTGGCCATTGAAACTGGTAAGAGTCACACTCACGTAGAGGTCAAAATGGAGGGCTTTGATCGACAAATAGTTGTCTCTGGGGACTACGACTTGCTGTCGAACTGTGATCAGGTGGCGTCTATTTTTGCCCCTTTATGTGCTTCCCCTGAGAGCGAGGCACTTAGAGCGATGAGTGATGCGGAATTGTCTCGGAGTGTCTCTGGCATGGCTTTGCGGGTAAATGTCTTTCTTTTCATTTCATCGTTGGATCTGTGTTATTATTTTTGGCCCATCCTTTTGTTTTAACTTTACTTTTCGTGCTAGACCCTCATCATGGAGATCGAGCGTGAGTGTCAGGAAATGAGGAGGACGACCGTCTATGGAAAGATGTCTTCTAAATATCAAGAATATCTCACTAAGCATCGTGCCATGGTCTATATCTACAATCAGGATCGTGATTTTCAACTGTTCCACGAAGGGCTCAAGCAGAGGGAGGATCAATTTGCGCGTAAGGTCGAGGAGTTGAAGGAACGAGACGAGGACCTTATGAAGGCCGCCGCCCATAGCAGTGAGTTCGAGGCATCCCTTAAAGTAAAGGAAGATGATCTTGAGCTAAGTAAGGGAGTAGTGGCGGAAAATGCCGACCTCCAAGCAAAGGTGGCCAATTTAACTGCTGAACTGGATATGAAGACGGCGGAGGTCAATGAGCTTAAGGGTGAATTGAGCGTGAATGCTGATAGATTGGCGACTGTCATCTCTGAGGCGGCGGTTTTAGAAGACGCCCTCCCTGTTTGTAAGTTGGAGCAGACCAAGGAGATGGAGTCATCCGCGCTTAAGATAGCGGGACTTGAGGGGCGTATTCAAGGGTGCAGAACTGTCTGCCTTAAATGAGCAAGTGGCTTTCTTGAAAACAGAGGGCGTACGCCAATAGTCGCAGCCTTCTACATCTCATGCTTTGGTTGATCCTGGCGTGCCTCGATATTTGTATGAGTTGTGGGTTCACGCTGAAGCTCAGCTTGATGTGTAAAAGTCTCTTCACGTTGACGGGAGGGCGTCAGAAGTAGAGCTTCGGGATGTGCGTGCCAAGGCCCGTGCAGCTCGTGAGGCATGCAGATACGATCCTCCCACGCCTGATGGGGATGATATTAATTCTGATGATGCGAACAGACTTGCCTCTGACTCTTGGTACGAAGACGTGTATGCCACCGCAAAATGATGTATAGTGTTTGGTTTGTATTTACTTTTGCTATGTAGCTTTTGTAAGGGCGTCTTTGGGCCCTTCGTAAAGACAGGTTCTTGTAATATTTTTGCTGTAATGAAAAATTGTTTTGCCGATTCGGTGGTAACTTTTGCTGCATTCATGTTATTCCGAACCTTTGGCGAAATATTTAAACCCGTTGTGCTTCGAGTGAATTCGAACTAATTTCTTTGATGATGGCCTTAGCCATCGGGACGTTACTTTCGAGCTGGTGCTGAAGTAGTATCCCATCGTGGTTCGAATGCTGTCGAACTCATTTTTCTATGATGGCCTTAGCCATTGGGATGTTACTTTTGAGCTGGTGCCGAAGTAGTATCCCGTCGTGGTTCAAGTGAGGTCAAACCCTTTACGTCGATGATGGCCTTAGCCATTGGGATGTTACTTTCGAGCTGGTGCCGAAGTAGTATCCCGTCGTGGTTCGAATGATGTCGAACTCATTTTTTGATGATGGCCTTAGCCATTTGGATGTTACTTTCGAGCTGGTGCCGAAGTAGTATCCCGTCGTGGTTCGAGTGAGGTCGAACCCTTTACGTCGATGATGGCCTTAGCCATTGGGATGTTATTTTCGAGCTGGTACCGAAGTAGTATCCCGTCGTGGTTCGAGTGATGTCGAACTCATTTTTTGATGATGTCCTTAGCCATGGGGATGTTACTTTCGAGCTGGTGTCGAAGTAGTATCCCATCGTGGTTCGAGTGATGTCGAACTCATTTTTTGATGATGTCCTTAGCCATTGGGATGTTACTTTCGAGCTGGTGCCGAAGTAGTACCCCGTCGTGGTTCGAGTGAGGTCGAACCCTTTACGTCGATGATGGCCTTAGCCATTGGGATGTTACTTTCGAGCTGGTGCCGAAGTAGTATCCCGTCATTGTTCGAGTGATGTCGAACTCATTTTTTGATGATGGCCTTAGCAATTGGGATATTACTTTCGAGCTGGTGTCGAAGTAGTATCCCGTCGTGGTTCTAACTACGCCGAACTCATATTTGATGATGGCCTTAGCCATTGTATCTGCTGGAGTGTCGTATATGCCGATTTTATTCATGCATTGGAGACGCGTGTTGATTTCGTGTACGTAATGGAGTGATTATATTCCTGTCGAAAATATATGTTGCTTCGTACATACAATGGAGATTCTTTATACCTACAATGGCGATACATGTCGCCTTCGTACATACAATGGAGATTTGACTATATTCCTGTCGGAAATATATGTTGACTTCGTACATACAATGGAGATTCTTTATACCTAGTCCCTTCATTGCTCGGCCTGGA